TGTTGCGGAAGCCAGCGATCCCACGCCCAAATTTCCAAAACACTCGTTTATGTATTGAGATGTTTGAAATAACTGGTGTTTATATTTATTCATTAGTTACAAGTGCTTTACAGATATTACAATAGTACTTACTTTAGTATTTTCAGGGATCTATCTGGATTTTATTAAATAATGTAAAATTTCTCACGCTCCTTGTAAGAAGTAAAGGCAGAAAGGAAAGAAAACGTATTGTCAAAAACATACTCAAGAAAACCTATCATTTGCTGTCACAGGGTGGCACATCGCAGTTAGGGTGCTGCCGTATCTTTCTTAACACATATTAAAAAATTATTTCAAGATTTGAGATAGAGATCGAAGTGTATAAGTTTCTCTACGCAAAGCACACACATGTGCGTGTGCTTTATATTAATAAAAATAAAGTACACACATGTGCCCGTGCTTTTTACCAAACGGCACACACATGTGATGTGAGCAAGTTTTTAATTTTTTATATGCACAGCACACGTGTGTGAGCGTAAAATGTTAGGATGTGCTGCGCATGTGTGTGCAAATACGAACCCTGATAGAAGCATTAATGCGTATTTAGGTCAAGGTTGGTCTACGAAAACGATGTATTGCTTTAAAGTACTTGTTTAAAGTATGGATAAGAATCAAAAATTAATAAAATATTAATTTGATTTTAATTTTAAAAACACGGTTTATGGGAGTAAGCAATTCACAAACCTTGCTTATCGAACGAATGCTAATAGAACGAGAAATAAGGGCAGGATTAGGTGAATAAAAAATACAAATGCTACCGGTCAGGGGTACCGCTCCTGTAGAACATAGCAGTAGGCAGCCTCCTTCACGAACGAAGATATTGGTTTGAATACGCCCACGATATTGCAATAGTTATCTCAGCTAAACACTTCTCAATATTAGGCAAATATGAAAATATGGTCCTCTTAGTAAAGCAAGAGACAAAATATCTAAGTCTCATACTAGATAGGAAACTAAACTGGGGGCCCAACAATGCAGATATAGTGCACAAAGCAACAATAGCACTATATTCATTCAGCAGGTCAATATGAAAAATATGGGGCATGGAACTCAAAATAATACACTGGATTGCCAGATAGCGGCAGTTTGGCCAATTCCAAACGCTTGCGTCTACATTATTAGCTCGTGCGATATGAACAGCACTATCTAAGGCACTGAATGACCTACTGAATTTTCTTCCGTTAATTCGTCATATACTACTTATGCTCATGATAGGATACTAACGGAGTTTTTGGAGCTTTCCGGATTGCTGGACAACACACTTCCGAACCCTGCTCCCACTACAGCTTTTATGACGCTCCTAACTTCAAGCAAAGAGTGGCGAGTCCGTTCTTGTATACACAGATGGCTCAAAGCTCGAAAGTAGGGTTGGTGGAGGCGTACATATACTCCGAACACCTGGGAATCTCCTTTAGCTTTCGTCTTTCCGACCACTGTAGCGTTTTTTAGACTGGTGAGGTCTGATATGATATCTCCAAGCTGATATCTACATACATTTTCACTGACATCCTTCACGAAGGAGTCGACAACCTCCGTGGTAGCCATGATATGAGTAATTTCCCCTAAGGTTGTTATGGGCTCCGGGACACTGCGTAATTGGTAAACATGTCTATCGACTGACGAAGAGGAGGAAACGATTCTGTACTTGTTGTGCCAGTGCTCTGCACTATGTAGACGAAAACTAGCTGGGTATACAATTCTGTTTTAACTTGGAGGACCTTAGATGCGTGGAAATCAAGGATCTTCTAAAATTCCTGCGAAGTTCTAAATATTTTTAGGGGACCCCATACCACAATGGCCCTTGAGCATAAGCATGTCTTATACATGACTGCAACTATCGAACCTGCTAATACATATAACCAATATATCTGTGATTAGGAGGTAGGGTCTTATGATGGACGTATATAGGTTAAGCAATGTTTCAGTTTCTATTGAAGATCTTCTTGTTGGCCGGTAATGGGAGAAGGCTGTCTGAACTGTGTGCCTTTTGTTCTCTTGGGGAACAGGATTTGTCTATTTTTTCAAAAGCTCACTAGTGTTTGGCTAATAGAGATGGGATATAAGTACGCTCCAGTAGAATATCCTTAAGTACGAAAACAGGATGCCTTCTATTTGCATTCCGGATTTTTATCCAGGGATTATGCTGCTTGACATATGGTGGAGCGACAAGCTAGCCGAGCTCTTGAAATCTGTCCTACTCCAGCAAAGGGAAAAAAAACATACACATAATCGGCATTCGCTAAGTTAAAAATTATTTTACATGCTATGATAAATATTATCAATTGTCATTCAGACAGGGTAAGAATACAAGCACATTAAGAATAAGAAGAGACTATGTAAATCTACCTTAGCATTAAAAAATTGACATTTTCCCTAAGCTGAGCTGAGC